TTTTTTCTGTGCCAAACGGCTTTTCAACTCCAACAATTATTCCTCCATCCTCATTATTCTTTTTTTTTCGACTATGAGACATAGAAACCCCAACTTTCAACTTCAAGTCCCCAAACTTAATCAACATTGATTAAAACAATCACAAGCACATCTCAACAATACAAATCGCCTCAAAACCAACTCACCACAATAAGTCACAAAAATATCAACCTTCATGCCTTTGTCCCCAAAATAAAAACACCTCAAGAATTTAACCAAATAAAATTAACTCAAGCCATTTAAACTAGCACAATAAATTCAAACCAACTCTCATGTCATCATCGCAAAATTCCACGTATGCAATCTTATGCTCAAACACAAGCAAATAACATGCAAACAATATAAGAACTCAAACTCTAAGGGGCAAAAATATAATCACATAATACATCATGAATGCTCACCAAGAAACCACCTCTCCAAACTTAGAGCTTGCATAAATCATTGACACTCAAATAAACACAAAAGCACAAAAACAGAGGTAAAAGAAACGAGTTCACCTTAGTCAATGAGGAAGAAGTCAACCGAACAACGCAAACCATTGGGTTGCCACCCAACAAGCGCCTCTTTTTATTGTCGTTGGCCTGACTTATTGCTCTCTTTCATCAAAAGACCCATCGCGGCTTCGGAGGTGGCCTCAAAGGATGCACAATTCTCACGGCCCCATGCTTATTGAAATTTATTCTTTTCGGCGTTGGATGCTTCACCGGATCTTTCCTCCATGACGCTAGTTGCTCAAGAATATGTAGCAGCCCGTAATCAATCACGATCATAATCTCATTAAACTCTCATTTGCGCCTCACATTTTGCTCGATCGTCTCAAGAGAAGGTATATCAAGGCCCAAGACACACTTCAGTGCATCCTTACTCAGGACCCACTTCATATTGGAAGAGATAGGACATGGTTCAGCTTCTATCGGCACAAGAGTGGGGAGAACGGTACGCTTTTTAGCTTCAGCAGGTCGAGTACTGGGTCCAGCAAGTCGAGTACGGGGTACCCCAGTATTTTGCTGCTGCGACTCTGCTTTCTCTATATTCGTGATTTTTTCGTTCTCCAATTCGTATGTGCCTTCTTCAGGCTCTTCGGGGTCCTTGCTGCACGAATGGGTGACGCTCGAACTCATTGGAATCGTTTCGATCCGACACACTAGTCGGTCCATTTGTTCCGCCAATTGGCTCAATTGCCCTTGTAAATTCTTTATTCGCAAGCCGTGGTTCTCGATGCTCATCTCTTGGCTCTTGATGCTTGCCTCAACACTTTGCTGAAAGTTAAGAGTGTGAGCCGTCAACTCCATCATCATCTCCTCGATCGACGGACTAGGATCCCTCTCAACTAATGGCTCGCAAAACTCTTGTTGAAATCTCAACGTGTTTAACCTGAATGCCTCTACCATATCCTCCACAGACGGGCTGGGATCAATTGGTGGCTCGGAGTACCCATAGAAAGAGTTAGAGTGCTCTCTCAAGTGGTATCCATACTCATCGGTATAGAAGTAGTCTTGTTCATTCCTTTGCCAACCACTAGGTCCTCTTACGTCTCGATCTCCAATCCACGGGCCTCGCATCTCCCTCTCATATTGGTAAGGTGTCTGGTGGGTATAAAAGTCGTGATAATAGGCTGCCATCTCGAAAAATTGCGCCAAACTCGATCAAAATCGCCCAAAGTCAAGTTATTCTCGCGAGTATGGGGGTCTGTCCAGCAGTATGGGGGCGCCCAGTATTATGCAAGAAAAATAAAAACAAAGAAAATAGAGGGGTAAAAGATGATAAAAATAAAATCCTAAAAAAATAATAATAATTCAATTAGTACTTAAAAATCACAATTCAATAACACTACTCCCCGGCAACGGCGCCAAAATTTGACCGCGCGTCGCAACGCAGCAAAATTAATATTTATAAATTCCTTATTCGACTTCTACCAACTAGTAGTAGCAGTGAGTAAGGGTCGAACCCAAGGGAGTGTGAATTTTAATTGTAATTATTTTCTTTAATTGAAATTAATAAAAATGATAAAAGAGGGGGTTTTGATGAGAGACAATTAACTACGAAAATAAGAATAACAAAATAAAATCAAATGCAGCAAAAGAGGATAATTTATCAAATTATGGGAAGACTTCTAGTTCACGGTTCCGTCTACACCCTCGACCGACTCGTCTAATTAATTCTGGTATCAAATCTCGCTATCTATGAAATTACTAGCCCTAGGTAACGACACGGTCTGTTACCCGAATTTTTTCTTATTTTTAATCTAACCGCGAGACGCTCTACGATTAAATCTGACCTCTTGAACAGTCTAGGAAACGCTTCCTAAATTTAATTCAATTAGCCGCTTTACGAATTAGAAAAATAGGCTAGACTAAGTAGTGACTTATTCGTTCACTTAAATAGGCCGTGTTATCCCCGGTAGTTACCATCTTCTGGATACCACTTGTGAATTAAACACATCAACAATTACGGATTGAAGGCCTAATTCAGGTGTAGATATGTAAAGCCTAATCTAGGTGATCAATCTAAATAAGACTCAACACATCATGGTTAATTATTCAAAATAACACAAACAATTCCAAAAAGATAACTCAATAATCAACCATAATTAATCAAACATCATCAAGTACGTAGGGTTCGACATCCCCGGAACTAGAATAAAATCTACTCTAACATAATAAATAAATAAGAAAAGATAAATAAAAGAGAGAGATTAATTATCTCCCTCGTGTACGAGTGCGGCTTCCCTCCGCTTTTGATCCGACTTCTCGCTTATCTCTGTCCGTGAATCTCCTCTCTCCTCTCTGTTTTGCGTGAATATGTCCCCGATAGTTGCTGCTGTGCGTGAATCTCCCAAGTATATAATATAATGCCCAATGTATGTGTATTGCGGCTTCTATTTAATTCCCTCACTAGTAACAAATTGTCACATGGGACATTCAGTGGATTTCCGTACACTTTAAGGCCCAATTAACTTTTCCTTAACATTCTTAAGGCATAAATTAGCTTGTGGGCTTTTTTTTTTTAATTAATCCTCAATTTTGGAATGTAACATGGGTCGGCTTGCTTGAATTCTGGTTCAAAGCCACATCATCAATAAAATTCCTCCAATATCTTGAAAATAAATCATAATATATCATAGTACTTAATTCCATCTAATAAATAAACAAGTCGAAAAATATATAAGTGCGATAAAATTAAGCATACAAAAATACACTGTAAATATATAAAATACACACTTTTCCCGACTAATCAAAAGGAAGCCAAAGGCCTAGGTTAGAACTTGTCGGGGGTATGACACCCTAATGTTATCGTGCTGAAGCCAATCTCCCAAACCTAAAGGAGGTGAAGAAAGTCGGTGCAGTCTGATCGGATAGAACGCTACCAAACTCGCCATGTGATTGACCACGAAATTCGCTTCCCTATGAACATGCTGGAGGCGAACAAACCAGTCTCTTTGAATTAATTCTTGAATGGCTCTAACTAAGGCATCATGATGTCCACAAAATCCCTCGGCTTTGGAGATCATGTTCATGACACATTGACTATCGATCTCGACAATAACTTGTCGATGTCCCCGAAGAAATTCATTGAGCTCGATTCCCGTTATAGTGCAGGATCCAATATTCATTCATAATAAAACCTTCGATCCAACGCCTTTCTCACAAAAAACGTGTTATTTATATAAGAAGTAAAATATTTTCCCTAACGGACCGTTAACAATTATTTTTAATCATTGTAAAAGTTGAGCACATAATATATATGATATTTTTAGTTCTTTTGACAATCAAGAAAAATCTTGCTGATTTTGATGAAACAAAAGTTCATAACACTTCTCTATACTTAAAAAAAAAAAATTCAATTTTGTTTTTTATTATTAAGAAGGATGGTAAATTTATAAAAAACAACTAAAGCCATGTTTGGTAAAACTAGCAGATAAGCTAGCTGATAGCTGATAAGTTAACTTATAGCTTATATGTAATTTTTGAGCTTATATCTTATACCTTATGACTTATAGCTGAAAAGCTAGCTTATATGATAAAAGGTGTTTGGTAAATTAGCTGATAAGCTAGCTGAAATAAAAAATTCAACTAGTTTATTTGAAAAACTACCTAAAGTAGCATATGAAATAAGCTCGAGCTTTTTAAAAGCTCGTCCTACCAAACGAGACTTATTTTAAAAGCTAGCTTTTTCCCGAAAGACCCGTCGTCAGTCGTCGCTAGTGGAGCTCGAGCTGTTCTTCTCGCTTGCAAGATCAAATCAAAAACCCACACCCATAGATTTCAATTCTTCATCACATTCGTCTCTCTGAATCACACCATACTCCGTGGGTGAAGAAAACCCAGAAAAAAAAAAAAAAATGCATTCAAATCACTTGCTGCTGGAGGAGCCAATCCGGATGGCCTCCATATTGGAGCCATCCAAAGCGGTGAGCAATTTGCTTATCTGTGTGTGAGAGTGCGCGTTTGATGTGTATCGATTTGTGTTTTCGATCTCTATTCGTGTTTGCGTGAGTGATTTTGGATTTGGGCGATTGATATGTCGTGACCTGCCGCAGAATTTTTTCCCGGCCATGACGAAGATCGTCGGGACGTTGGGCCCACGCTCCCGGTCGCCGGAAGTTATTTCCGCTTGCCTTGGTGCCGGGATGTCTGGTGATTGAAACGAATTCTCTCTCTCTCTCTCTCTCTCTCTCTCTCTCTCTCTCTCTCTCTCTCTCTCTGTGTGTGTGTGTGTGTGTGTGTGTGTGTGTGTGTGTGAATATTTGGACAGTATTTTCTTTTACACTCTTTCTGCCCTTTTATAATGTGATCAGTAGCAAGATTTGATAAATTCACTCTCTTTTTGCTCTTTTTTTAATATGGGCAGTGGCAAGATTTGATTTTTCATGGGGCAATGCTGAGTATCATCAGGAGACTCTGGAAAATCTGAAGGCTGCCATCAAGGGCTCTAAAAAACTCTGTGCTGTATGTATTTATTTCAATTTATGCGGTTTTATACCGAACATGTTTATGAGTTCAAGTAGTTTTCGAATATAGTAAGATGAAAGTAGAGGCTTTATGTAAGATGGGGTTTGCTTATGTTTGGTGCTGTGTGTCTATTTCTGCATTTTTAGACCTTTTATCTTGCTGCAGGTTATGTTGGATACTGTGGGGCCTGAGTTGCAAGTTGTCAATAAAAGTGGAGAAGCTATTACACTTAAGGCAGATGACAATGTTATTCTGACTCCTGATCAAGGTCAAGAAGCTTCGTCCGAGATTTTGCCTATCAACTTTGCTGGACTGGCGAAGGTTTTAAATGCTTCCACCTATTTATTACAGTCTCGTAAATTGTCTGCATTATGTTGCTTTGTTTCATAAAATCGAAGTTTTTGGAAGCTTAATTGGCGTCATTGTAGAACTCACCTCTATTTGCATAGTATTATCTATTTCTATCGAAGTTTAGGATATGAATATGTTTTTCTAACACACTGAGCAGATCACTTATCTCGTAATAGCATATTTCTTGAAAGAAAATGAAAATCAACATTTCTTTCTAGAAATCAAGAGGAATATTTATTTCAATTATTCATGAAAATGCTGCAAATTGTGTAGTGAGCGTATCATCGGCCACAAAACATGCGAAGAGTACAAAAGAGATTTTAAATTACTTTTAGAATTATGTGTCCAAAGATCAAAATCTCGAATAATCGATCAAAACATTTTATAGGTTGGGTTTAGACAAGAGGTGAAAAACTAAACGTACCAATATTATCTTTAAATACTGTTTAAGGGGTACTGGAAATGTTACATTAGTTAGTGGATGATAAACAACTTGAAATGGAAAATCTAAATATATTCTGGGATATTAGTAAAATAACTAACGTTGATGAACTTGAAAATAGGCAGTAAGAAAGTAAAATAGTAATTGATGCATTTTTACCGTGTATTGGAGTAGGGTCCAGGGGGTTGAGTTTCTAAATGCCCGTTCTAAATCTGCTTTCTATTGTATGCTGTCATTCTCTGATTCCCACAGGCTGTGAAGAAGGGAGACACCATTTTTATTGGGCAGTACCTATTTACAGGAAGTGAAACCACTTCTGTGTGGCTCGAGGTATTATTCGAGTTCCAAGTTTAGTTTTAACAAGGTTTACTTTATTTCTGCTTATCCTGAACTTTATGCCATCTAAGTTCTTTTTCTTTTCTTTTTATTTACTATTTTTTCCATTCTTTCACGCATTGCTATTTATCTTTTCTGTTGTAATGATTACTCACAAAATGTGATATGTCAACGTCGCAGTTTATTCCGTTGCATCGCTTGATGCACATAATTTTGATCTTTGATATTTTCAACTTCCGATTTATTGCGGCTGCTTGAAATGAAAGTTCTTTTTTTTCTTGGACAGGTAAATGAATTGAAAGGCGATGATGTGGTTTGCATTACCAAGAATTCTGCAACTTTGTCTGGATCATTATTCACATTGCATGCTTCTCAAGTTCGTATTGAGCTGCCAACTTTATCTGAAAAGGATAAACAGGTTAGTATTGGCTAATGGTTTTCTTCTGGATTTTTAAATCTTATTTGGTGTTTTCGTTCATCGCGTGCAATTTGTTTTATGTTGAGGCTCGTGGGAATACTTCTAAATTTCTATCTGTCTTACCCAATATTTTTTTTGAATATATAACTTCTCTTTTACTTCAGGTCATCAGCTCATGGGGTGTTAAAAACAAAATCGATTTTCTGTCGTTGTCTTATACACGTCATGCAGAGGATGTTAGACAGGTATTTATATATATATATATATATATATACATAGAAAGAACATGAATATCTGAATCTTAAAAAGTTCCGTTTTTTCTTGTATTCTGATCAGCTTCCTGATTGCCTTCTGTTGCAGACCCGTGATTTTCTATCCAAGCTTGGTGATCTTAGTCAGACACAAATCTTTGCTAAAATTGAAAACGTAGAGGTGAATGTGAATCTCTGTTCCTATTGCTGAGTAAAGGATAAATTTGAGTTGCTCTCTAGCAAGAAAGTTGGAGTTTATATAAAAGAATGCATGAAAGTTAACAGTTCCCCATGATTTGCTCGTCTGTTTTGCAGGGTTTAACCCATTTTGACGAGATCCTGCAGGAGGCCGATGGCATCATCCTTTCCCGTGGGAATCTTGGAATAGATCTTCCACCTGAGAAGGTTAGTTCTTGTAATGATTGGTGTGTGTAGGGAAGATACTTTTAGTTCTTGATTGATTGCATTGGACGAATAATTTTTGGAGCTGATTTTGTACTGATTAGCTGCCCGAACACTTTTAGGGAAATATTTTTGGATAAATATTTTCGTAAGTAATAGCTGCCTAACCATTTTATCAATGAGTTGTAGCATGCATGGATAAGGGGTATTATTTTTCACTCACATTTGCATTTGTTCGCCGTTTAAGTTTACTAACTTATATATTATAGTTATTTTAAGTTTACAAATTTTTTTTTTTTTCTTTCGTCCTGGTTAGGTCAACAAAGGCATGAAACATTTCGATTTTTTTTCCTATAAAACGAAATGAACTTTACCTGGACCAATACACGATCTTCTTTTGCACCTGTTGAGAATTCCTACGAGCTGTTTTTTTGCAGTTCTTTTGCACCTGTTGAGAATTCTTACGAGCTGTTTTCTTGCAGGTGTTTTTGTTTCAGAAATCAGCCGTTTACAAATGCAACATGGCTGGAAAGCCAGCAGTGGTGACTCGTGTTGTCGATAGTATGACGGACAATCTAAGGCCCACTCGTGCAGAGGCAACTGATGTGGCCAATGCCGTTTTGGATGGTGGGGTCACATTTTCCTAAATTCTTGGAAGGAAAATTGCTATTAATTTTTTAAGTGCATATTTTTAGGCTATGTTTGGTAAAACTAGTTGATAGTTGATAAGCTATTTTATAGCTTATAGCTTATGTCTTATAGCTGATAAAACTAACTTATATGATAGAAATGTTTGGTAAAATTAACTGATAAGCTAGTTGAAATAAAAATTTCAACTAGCTTATTCGAAAAGCTACCCAAAGAAGCTTATGAATAAACTCGATCTTTTTAAAAAAGTTCGTCCTATTCCTACCAAATGAAGCTTATTTGAATACAGAAGTTTATAAGTTAACCAATATACAAGAAACTTTTAAGCTAACCAAATATAGTATTAGTGTTTTCATTACCGGGAATGATTTTTAGTGTTTTTGTTATAGGATGTGACACGATTCTTCTTGGGGCTGAGACCTTACGTGGGCTATACCCTGTTGAAACTATTTCTACAGTGGGCAAAATTTGTGCTGAGGTTAGGGGGCGAATGCATGCATTTTATAAGCTAAGGTTTAGAGTTAGACTTACTTTACATAATGAAATGTAACATAAGTTTGTGTACGTTCGTGTGCAGGCCGAGAAGGTTTTCAATCAAGATCAATACTTCAAAAGGACTGTAAAATTTGTGGGCGAGCCCATGACTCATCTTGAATCTATTGCATCTTCAGCTGTATGTTTCTACAGAAAAAATGAAAAATAAAAAATAAAAAAATAAAAAATAAAAACAAGAAAAAGAAAATGGGCTTGATCAAAATGAAAATTCCATCTTTCTTTTCCTTTTCCTCTAATCATTTTTCATTATTTATTTTTTAATGAGTAGTCATTTTGCATCACTTTTAGGTCAGAGCTGCCCTTAAAGTGAAGGCATCGGTTATCATATGTTTCACCTCATCGGGAAGGGCTGCCAGGTACTATTTCGATTTCTGAATGTTCTATGTATTTGTATATTCGCCATATTTTTTTTTTAAAAAAAAATTTTACCAATTAAGCACTGACTTACTATCATTTCCTGTTAAATGCAGATTGATAGCCAAGTATAGGCCAACAATGCCTGTTTTATCTGTCGTCATCCCTCGGCTCAAGACAAATCAATTGACGTGGAGTTTTAGTGGTGCATTCGAGGTAAATACCCCATAATCGAAATTTTATCATTATTTTTCAAATGCTTAATTTTTTTTTTCGTAATTTATTCTACCCACCTAATTGATCTTTTATGCATGTGTTTAGGCGAGGCAATCTCTCATAGTACGAGGTCTTTTCCCTTTGCTTGCTGATCCTCGGCATTCTGTAAGTTCTTTTTGCACTTTAGGTCCCTTTTTCGCCGTGTTTTCTATTCAATTAGGTCCTATCATTTTGTGGTAATTATTATTCTTATGATCTATTAGGCCGACTCCACGAATAAAACAAACGATTCCGTTCTAAAAGTGGCGCTCGACCATGGGAAAGCCTCGGGAGTGATTAAGTCACACGACCGAGTCGTGGTCTGCCAGAAAATCGGAGATGCATCGGTAGTGAAGATTATCGAGCTTGAAGATTGAATTTGAAATGCTTCTACTGTCAGATTGAGTGTCTCGTTTTGTTTTTTGCTTTGACGATCGATCATAATGCCGATTGCCATGGAATTGGATGGTGATTCTTTTTTATGGAAATTTATTTCCATAATTCAAAACTTGAAAAGAATAAGATTTTGGGCCATATTCCTGATGGGAACGGTGGATGATTATGATTAATGTTTATGTTGCCCTTCTGATTCGGGCTAAAGATCAAATCTGGCCAAAATTGTTGTAATTTTGATATTTGTGGAAATAATGAAATATGGAAAGCAATATGTTTCATCAGCATCATCTTCATGTTTATGATCAAGTCATTAACCAAATCGAAATAGTTGTGTGCAGGAGAGTGCACGAGTGCGACGTTTATGTAGCAATGCAATAAAATGCGAAAGCGATTAAACAAAATTTTCATCAGAAAATATCCTGCTCTCCTCAGAATTCTTTTTACTAGTAACTGGTCTCGCCCACGCAGCGTAGTATAGATTTACGATACTAGAACTTTCTTTTAATCTTACTGTCCCTACACTCCATTTCCCTAGTAACTTTGGCAACTCGTGGACTTAAAAACCTGTAGTGGATCCCTCCATAGGAACACGACCACTTCTCTCAAGTGTCGTGAATAAAAGACCTTTCATCCCGTAAAAACACGAATTGAAAGCTCAATTAAATCTATGTCATACAATGAAATATGATCTCTCAACTCTCAGAATTCCCAGAACATAACTCTCTCTCTCTCTCTCTCTAAAGTAACAAATCTAGATTAAATCTAACTCAATATTCAATAATTAAAATACAAAGAAACTTAATAATAAGTCAATATTTCCTTTATTTTGTCTTGTGCCATTTCCAAGTGACCAACAAGGAATATAATCAAATATACAATAAAGTTACTCGAATTATGCCAATTCAAAATTTTAACAGTCTTTTCATTTGCCGTTCATTTTGAAAATTCTATTTCATGTAGCCACAAAAACAAGTTAATTCTACATCAAGATAAAAATAAGGATAGATTGAATATAGAAGAACATCAGTCCAAGTTTTTATGCAAGACAAGTCAAAACAAATCACAAACAAGCATCTCATGCAAACAAATAATCATCCAAACTCAAAGGAACTATAAAATCATAAATATAATATCAAAAGTCATGAAGAACCAAATCATATTCTTTCATCATGCAACAAAACAAATCATAACATATAGGAATAAATAATTGTTCAAGACAGGCCAAACATCAGGCCACAAAAACCAAATATTCTGAAAACACATAAAAGTAGTAAATCGAATTGATTTAGTACAAAGACACCTCATTACAAACCTCAATAAGAAAAGTCCTCGTAATGCTTGGGATCCATCCCTCATCAGAATTCTCCTCCATGGGGACTAAGGCTGCAAACGAGCCGAGCCGAGTCGAGCATTGGCCTTATCGAACAGGATTGACTTTTTTCTCGAGCTCGACTCAAAATCAAAATGCTCGAGCTCGGCTCGAAATTTTTTAATTGGAAAGGTGAAATTACTATTAAGGACTTATGCTAACATATATAAGGGGTATTTTAGTAATTTAACATATATCTCGAGCCGCTCGAAAAGGCAAAATATGGGCTCAAGCTCGACTCGAGTTCGGTCAAACTCGAGCTCGAGTCGAGCTTTGACTCGAGCTCTAGCGAACGGCTCGCGAGCCGCTCGGTTCATTTGCAGCCGTAATTGGGACATCCTTCGCCGAGTCATGCATCTTATTAACATTATTAGTTGTTGTTTAATTGCTATTAGATTTAATGTAAAGTTGCTATTCTATTATCAGCAACTATAGGTATTCATATGTAATTTTCCTTTTATGTCCTTGCAAACCCTAAGTATATAAGGGTTGCTACCCACACACCTGCACACACTTTTCTTCTTCAATTTTTCGGTCTTTTCCATTTTTCACTTTTCTCTCATCTCTCTCTCTCTATCTGTTCTTCAATTTCGAAGATGATTTCACATCAGATTATGTAAATTCACATGGTATCATTCGCCATCAAATCGATCCTCGCTTCCGCACGCTGATTCTTCTGATATTTTCTGTTTTTTTTTCCGATCGCTTCTCAACCTCCGAGAAATCGATCGATTTAGGGTTTTTCGCTCTCTGAAATCCCGATCTATTCATATATTTCTATCGATCTGCTCTCAATCGGTTTCGATCTGTTACCTGCTATCCAAATCTGTTCGAATCCATGGCTGCGACTCAAAATCCGACTGACGACCCGTCTTCGCCGTTCTTCCTCCATGCGAGCGACAATCCTGGCGCTATCATCGTCGCCGAGCCGTTCAACGGAGAGAACTACGTCCCCTGGTCGCGCGCTGTGCTAATGGCCTTAAGCGTAAAGAACAAAGTAGGGTTCATCGATGGTACACTTCTGTCCCCTTCTCCTACTGCGAACCCTAACTTGTACATTGCTTGGGTCAGAGCAAACAATTTAGTGTTGTCCTGGATATTAAACTCTGTTTCTAAAGACATCAGGCAATCACTCATGTTTTTTACTTCATCATATGATGTTTGGGTTGAGCTTAAGAATAGATATGCCATGAGTACTGGTCCTCGTGTTTTCCAGATAGAAAAGTCACTTAGCACCATGTCTCAGGGTTCTCTCTCTATCACACAGTATTACAATGCATTTAAGGGTCTCTGGGATGAATACATGACATATAGGCCAATTTTTCGCTGTACATGTGGGGCTTTCACCTCTTGCACTTGTCATATTTTTGAGTCCATGGCTGAAAGTCAACAACAGGATTGTGTCATGAAGTTCTTAATTGGTCTGCATGATTCATATGCATCACTCAGAAGCCATTTCTTGCTTTCATCACCTCTACCTACCCTTACCAAAATATACTCACTCCTTCTTCAAGAAGAGTCACAGAGATCCTTACACAACACTCAAACCACTGATCCCATGGCTATGATTGCCAAAATTTACCCAAACTTCCTCAAAAACAATAAACCTACTCAGAACAAAGATCCTCAACCCAAAGACAAAAAGCCTAGACCTAAATGCTCTCATTGTGGGTACCCTCATCCCTCTGATAAATGCTACCAAATCATTGGATATCCACCACACTGGACTGGCCCTAGAGGTCCCAGAATCCATCCCCAACATGCTGCTAACATGCTTCATACCACACATTCTACTCCTGCTTCTGAAAACATCACTCCTGATGCATCTTCCATGACTAATGAGTTGTTTCATGAGTTTTTAGCATTTAAAAGATCTCAGGAGACAAAATCTGCTCCAGAACCAAACCACACTCCTATTGTGGCTACTGCTTATCCTGTTGCATCAGGTATTTCTAACCCTCTCTCATGTGTAGTATCTAGAACTTTGACTAAAAATGCATGGATATTGGATACGGGTGCAACTGATCACATGATATGTCAAAAATCTTTTTTCAAATCACTAACACCTGTTAACAATATTCACATCAATATGCCTAATGGTAACACAACTGAAGCATGCTCTGTGGGTGATATTCAATTGACATCCCATTTACAATTGATAAATGCTCTATATGTGCCCAGCTTTCACTTTAATCTGATTTCTGTGTCTAAGTTGGCCTCAACCAACAATTGTGAAATCATATTTCTGTCATCATATTGCATTTTACAGGACTTGAAAACTCACAAAATGATTGGTTCTGCTGAATTGAGAGATGGTCTCTATCATCTGCTCATTCCAGATTCTCCTGATAAATCTTTTACATCTGCAAATGTATCTTCTGTTTGCAATTTACATGTACCATTTCATTTACCTGTAAAGAATGATCTCTTGAACAATGTTCTCTGGCACAACAGATTGGGACACCTGTCATATTCCAAATTGTCTGAACTTCCTGTTAACACTTCTATGTGCAAAACCATGCATTCTATTCCATGTGATGTATGTCATTTTGCTAGACAAAAGAAATTGCCTTTTCCCACTAGTACATCTCAATCTGATTCTATTTTTGACCTAATTCACTGTGATGTCTGGGGGCCATTTAGTGTCACTTCTCATGAAGGATACAAATATTTTCTCACCATTGTTGATGACTTTAGTAGAACTACATGGATTTATCCTATGAGAAACAAATCAGACACTAAGATTAGCCTCATTCATTTTTACAATCTGGTAAATACTCAGTTTGATAAGAAAATAAAAGTCATTAGATCAGACAATGGTACTGAATTTTTCATGCATGATTTTTATACTGAAAAAGGCATTCTTCATCAAACATCTTGTGTTGAAACTCCTCAACAAAATGGCAAAGTAGAAAGGAAACACCAACATCTTTTACAAGTTGCTAGAGCCATTCTCTTTCATGCACAATTACCATTATATTTCTGGATTGATTGCATCATGGCTGCTGCTCATATCATAAATAGAGTCCCTTCAGTCATTCTTCAAAACAAATCTCCTTTTGAACTTCTTTATAACAAACAACCTACATATTCTCATCTGAAAGTCATAGGTTGTCTATGTTATGCTTCTACAATTACTGCAAACAGACACAAATTTGACTCTAGGGCTCATAAATGCATACTTCTTGGTTACCCTATAGGTTGTAAAGGTTATAAACTTTACAACCTTGAAACCAAGAAAATAATAATATCCAGAAATGTGCAATTTTATGAAACTGTGTTCCCATTTTCTACAGACTCTACCTCTCAAATACCAGATACTCTATTCCCTGAACCAACACCTTTCCCCTTTAGCAATTCAGATACTCAAAGACCTGTATTATCTCCAACAGATACAACATCCACACCTAATATATCATCCATAAACTTACCACTTTCCACTATATCAAACCCTCCTACAAACTCACCCTCTATTCCTGCTCAGTCAACATCTATACCTACTCAAAGAAACTCTTCCCCAAGAAGGAGATCTCAAAGAACCATAAAGCCACCTGCATACCTTGATATATATCATCATTCACTACCATCTTCCAGTTCAAATTCAGTTTCTTC